AGGTTACTGAATGATCAATGGGTTATAGAAGACATCAAGGAGGAAATTAAAAAATTCTTAGAGATAAATGAAAACACAGACACAACATATCGGAATCTATGGGTCACATTGAAAGCAGTTCTAAGAGGAAAATTCATTGCTTGGAGTTCATTCCTTAAAAAAAGGAAAAACCAACAAATACATGATCTCATACTTCATCTCAAAGTCCTAGAAAAAGAAGAGCAAAACAACAGCAAAAGAAGTAGAAGGCAAGAAATAATTAAAATCAGAGCTGAAATTAATGAAATCGAAACAAAAGAAACAATTGAAAAAATTGACAAAACTAAAAGTTGGTTCTTTGAAAAAATAAACAAAATCGACAGACCCTTAGCCATGCTAGCGAAGAGAAGAAGAGAGAGAACTCAAATTACTAGCATACGGGATGAAAAAGGCAATATCACAACAGACACTTCAGATATACAGAAGATAATCAAAAACTATTTTGAATCCTTATACTCCAATAAATTAGAAGATAGTGAAGGCATCGATAAATTTCTTAAGTCATATGATCTGCCCAGATTGAGTCAGGAGGATATAGACAACCTAAACAGACCAATATCAATTGAGGAAATAGAAGAAACCATAAAAAGACTACCAACTAAGAAAAGCCCAGGACCGGATGGGTATACAGCAGAGTTTTACAAAACCTTTAAAGAGGAACTAATACCAATACTTTTCAAGCTACTTCAGGAAATATAAAAGGAGGGAGAACTTCCAAATTCATTCTATGAGGCCAACATCACCCTGATACCTAAACCAGACAAAGACACTTCAAAGAAAGAAAACTACAGACCAATATCTCTAATGAACCTAGATGCAAAAATCCTCAATAAAATTCTGGCGAATCGGATACAAAAACATATCAAAAAAATTGTGTACCATGATCAAGTAGGATTCATCCCTGGGATGCAAGGCTGGTTCAATATACGGAAATCAATAAATGTTATTCACCACATCAATAGACTTAAAAATAAGAACCATATGATCATCTCGATAGATGCGGAAAAAGCATTTGACAAAGTACAGCATCCCTTTATGTTCAAAACTCTAGAAAAACTAGGGATAACAGGAACATACCTCAATATTGTAAAAGCAATCTATGCTAAGCCTCAGGCTAGCATCATTCTGAATGGAGAAAAATTGAAGGCATTCCCTCTAAAATCTGGAACAAGACAGGGATGCCCTCTCTCTCCACTTCTCTTCAACATAGTTCTCGAAACACTGGCCAGAGCAATTAGACAGACGAAAGAAATTAAAGGCATAAAAATAGGAAAAGAAGAAATTAAATTATCACTATTTGCAGATGATATGATTCTATATCTAGCAGACCCAAAAGGCTCTACAAAGAAACTATTAGAGCTAATAAATGAATTCAGCAAAGTGGCAGGATTTAAAATCAACACGCATAAATCAAAGGCATTCCTGTATATCAGCGACAAATCCTCTGAAATGGAAATGAGGACAACCACTCCATTCACAATATCTTCAAAAAAAATAAAATACTTGGGAATCAACCTAACAAAAGAGGTGAAAGACTTATACAATGAAAACTACAGAACCCTAAAGAGAGAAATAGAAGAAGATCTTAGAAGATGGAAAAATATACCCTGTTCATGGATAGGCAGAACTAACATCATCAAAATGGCGATATTACCAAAAGTTCTCTATAGGTTTAATGCAATGCCAATCAAAATCCCAACGGCATTTCTTGTAGAAATAGAGAAAGCAATCATGAAATTCATATGGAAAAATAAAAGACCCAGAATAGCAAAAACAATGCTAAGCAAGAAGTGTGAATCAGGCGGTATAGCGATACCAGACTTCAAACTATACTACAGAGCAATAGTAACAAAAACAGCATGGTACTGGTACCAAAACAGGCGGGTGGACCAATGGTACAGAATAGAGGACACAGAAACCAATCCACAAAACTACAACTACCTTATATTTGATAAAGGGGCTAAAAGCATGCAATGGAGGAAGGATAGCATCTTCAACAAATGGTGCTGGGAAAACTGGAAATCCATATGCAACAAAATGAAACTGAATCCGTTTCTCTCGCCATGCACAAAAGTGAATTCAAAATGGATCAAGGAGCTTGATATCAAATCAGAGACCCGCCGTCTGATAGAAGAAAAAGTTGGCTACGATCTACATTCGGTGGGGTCGGGCTCCAAATTCCTCAATAGGACACCCATAGCACAAAAGTTAATAACTAGAATCAACAAATGGGACTTACTCAAACTAAAAAGTTTTTTCTCAGCAAAAGAAACAATAAGAGAGGTAAATAGGGAGCCTACATCCTGGGAACAAATCTTTACTCCGCACACTTCAGATAGAGCCCTAATATCCAGAGTATACAAAGAACTCAAAAAATTAGACAATAAGAGAACAAACAACCCAATCAACAAATGGGCCAAGGACCTGAACAGACACTTCTCAGAGGAGGACATACAGTCAATCAACAAGTACATGAAAAAATGCTCACCATCTCTAGCTGTCAGAGAAATGCAAATCAAAACCACCCTAAGATACCATCTCACTCCAGTTAGATTGGCAGCCATTATGAAGTCAAACAACAACAAGTGCTGGCGAGGATGTGGGGAAAAGGGTACACTTGTACATTGCTGGTGGGACTGCAGATTGGTGCAGCCAATTTGGAAAGCAGTATGGAGATTTCTTGGAAAGCTGGGAATGGAGCCACCATTTGACCCAGCTATTCCCCTTCTTGGTCTATTCCCTAAAGACCTAAAAAGAGCATGCTACAGGGACACTGCTACATCGATGTTCATAGCAGCACAGTTCACAATAGCAAGACTGTGGAACCAACCTAGATGCCCTTCAATAGACGAATGGATAAAAAAAAATGTGGCATTTATACACAATGGAGTATTACTCTGCATTAAAAAATGACAAAATCATAGAATTTACAGGGAAATGGATGGCATTAGAGCAGATTATGCTAAGTGAAGCTAGCCAATCCCTAAAAAACAAATGCCAAATGTCTTCTTTGATATAAGGAAAGTAACTAAGAACAGAGTAGGGACGAAGAACAGGAGAAGAAGATTAACATTTAACAGGGATGAGAGGTGGGAGGGAAAGGGAGAGAGAAGGGAAATTGCACGGTAATGGAAGGAGACCCTCAGGGTTATACAGTGGAGGGGGTAGAGAGAGAGGAGGGGAGCGGAGGGGAGAGGTGGGGAGGGGGGAGGGTGGATGATGGGAAAGGCAGCGGAGCACAACAGACACTAGTATGGCAATTTGTAAATCAATGGATGTGTAACTGATGTGAATCTGCAATCTGTGTATGGGGTGAAGGTGGGAGTTCATAACCCACTTGAATCAAAGTGTGGAATATGATATGTCAAGAAATTTGTAATGTTTTGAACAACCCACAATAAAAAATTAAAAAAAAAAAAAAAGAATGTGTACAGAGATTCTACAGATCGGGAGAAGATCTTCACCACCAATAACTCATATAAGGTATTAATTTCTAGGATATACAAAGACCTCAAAAAATTTACCACCAGAAAAATAAACAATCCAATCAACAAATGGGCAAAGGAACTGAACAGGCACTTAACAGAAGAAGTACGAATGTTCAACAAATATATGAAAAAATGTTCAACATCTCTAGTAATTAGAGAAATGCAAATTAAAACTACACTGAGATTTTATCTCACTTCAGTCAGAATGGCAATTATCAAAAATACAAGTAACAATAAATGTTGGCAAGGATGTGGGGAGAAAGGTACTCTCATACATTGTTGGTGAGACTGAAAACTGGTGCAATTACTCTGGAAAGCAGTATGGAGATTCCTTAGAAAACTTGGAATGAACCACCACTTGACCCAGTTATCCCACTCCTTGGCATATACCCCAAAGACTTAAAATCAGCATTTTAAAGTGACATGGCCACATCAATGTTTATAGTAGCTTAATTCACAATAGCAAAGCTAGGGATCCAATCTAGGTGTCCTGCAACAGATGAATGGATAAAGAAAATGTGGTATATATATAAAATTACTCAGCAATATAGAAGAATGAAATTATGACATTTGCCAGTAAATGGATAGAACTGGAAACTGTCATGGTAAGTGAAATAAGCCAATCCTCAAAAACCAAAGCCTGAAAATTATTTCTGATATAAGAATGCTAACACACAATAAGTAGGGAAGGGAAGAATAGCAGATTTCATTGGATTAGACAAAGGGGAATGAAGGGAAGAAAGGGAAGATGGGAATAGAAAAGACAGTAGAATGAATTGGACATAACCTTCTTATGCTCACATATGAATACCCAACCAATGTAACTCTCACAAGAATGGGAAGTTTTACTCCATATATGTATAAGATGTCAAAATATACTCTATTGTCATATATATCTAAACAATATTTTTTTGTTTTTGAAAAGAAAAAAAAATGTGACAGATGGGGAAGAGGCCTAGACAAGGAAAAGGAACAAAACCTTTCCTTTGGTTCTCTTTGATAATTTCTCCTTACTATTACCATGGTCTCTGGTCTTCTCTGAACTCTGACATTAGCTAGCCAAGTCTACTGGCTTCTCTCTACCTAAATCCTTCAGGGATTCTGCCTGTCATGCTTCTTTAGTCTTTCATAGTTAGTTTATATGCTGTTTAATGCTGGATTATTATAAAGATAAAATCAATTTAAAGTCTCAATGGGCTTACTATTAAATCACCTTATCAAGTATTTATCAAATTATGATGTTTCATAAAATATAGGGCAGTTTTGGTTCATTCTGACATATGTTATTTTCTTGTGTTTTTTAGTATCAGAATCAAAGTTGCCAGGTCGGGTAACTTTAACGTCTTCAATATTCTTTCAGTGATCACCAGAAAACAGTTTTGAATCTTATAAATGTCTTACTCAATACAAGTATCAATTGCCAGAAGCATATTTTATTCTGTAATTTAAAACTACATAAAGTATAAAACCAACCATAATCCAAACACGAATGTGCTTGCTAGTAGGATCGTTTTCTACCACATTACAGAGTAGTACTTCAATGAGCCGTGTGAGAGAGACAACCACATTGCTATTACTGGTATGAATCAGTTCCTGCAAAGTGAAAAGAATAAGACATTATTCATAACTTTCAGTTTATTTGAAGAATAAAAGAAGATAAATATTTCAGTTTTAAAAAATGATAACATACATTATATTCATAAACATGAACTTTAAAACATTAATTTAAAAACATCTAAAGAATTTAATTTTTTGACTGATAAAAACCATTTCTTGACTACTTTAGCTTGGCATATAACCATAACCAAAAAATTGTATATAACATACTCTAAATCCTCTGAGAAATGCAAACTAGTTTCTGTAAGGGAATAAATAATGTTCTAAAGATAACAAAAATGAAGTCTCTTATAGCAATTCATTCATTTATTTATTCAACAAACATTTCATATAGGCATGAAAGACATGCCTATATGCCTATATACCATGTTAGGAGATAATGAAAATAAAAAACAATGCCTGAAAAGGAGCAACATTAAAATTAAATAGATGGGGCTGAGGTTGTGGCTCAGTGGTAGAGTGGTTACCTAGCATGTATGAGATGCTTGGTTCAATCGTCAGCACCACATAAAAATAAATAAATAGAATAAAGGTATTGTGTCCATCTACAACTAAAAATATTTTTAAAAAACTAAATAGTCAAATATATTGTGTTGTGATAATGGTATGACAGAGGAAGTCTCAGGGTAGGAGAATGTTATTAGAATACTGGGGATAAACAATTAGCCTGGCCCCAAGGAAATGGAAGAGGATTAAGGCAAGGAAGGCTTCCCAGAGGAAGCAATAGCTGAGTTGAATTTGGAAGGAAAAAGTGGTAGGGAAGGATGTTCAAGGTAGGGGCAGCCATTCATTCAAAGAAAGGAGATATGAGCAGATAATTAGTAAAATTCTGTTGGATATGAAAATAGAGTGTGAAGGACGAATGGCAAAAAACAAGGCTTGAGAAGCAGACAAAGGTCAGATTCCAAAAAGCACTGTGGGGTGTGTTAGTGGTCTCAGTATAAGAGAAAGTTCCAGTGAAGGGTTTTAAGTGAAGGAGTAATCAGAATAGATTTATGTTTTGGAATCTTCACTCTAATATCAGGATATATATTGGACCAGAGCAGGTCTACTGTATTTGTTCAGTAGACCTGAACAAATTATTAAGGTCAGAACTGAGCCTACCATAATAAAAAGGGTGGGAATGAAAAGAAATGGGAATGGAAAGAAGATAAATAAAAATGTTATCAAGGAGGGAAAAATCAATAGTTCTCTGAGAACTGACTGGATATAGAAAATATAGAATTGTGAAAAGAAATCCATCATTCATTACCTGGAAAGATGGAGTCTATTTTGTATTATTTAAAATGTATAAGTATTAGAGGTTTAAAACTTAAGAACTGCAGAAGAACTTTTTTGTGTATTTTCTCTATGAAGACAATGCATACGATCTTCACAAGGTAGAATTAGCTGATTTTTCTTTTATATACCACATTTTTCTACCCCTAAAATAATACTTTAGGATTAGAAATCTACTGAATACTACTTTTCCCTTTTTATATGAATATATTTATCTATGCATAAGTAAACATGTGTTGATATACATGTGACATGTTGGGGAAGATAGCTAAATAGTAGCTCCCAAAAAGAGAGTTCCATGTCCTAATCCCAGGATTTTATGGAAGTGATCTAACTGAAAAAATGATCTTTGAAGAAGTAATTAAGGACCCTGAGATGAGGAGATCATTTTGGATTATCCTATGGACCCTATACCCAACACCCCAAGTCTTTTTAAGTGCCATACACAACAGAGACAGAGGAGAAGACCATGTGAAGATAGACGAAGAAATTGGAGTTATATAGCCACAGGCCAGGGAACTTCTGAAGCCATCAAAATCTGGAAGAGATACACAAAAATTCTCCCTTGAAGCTCAGCTCTGCTAACATCTTGATTTCAGACTTCTGGCCTCCAAAACTGTGAGAGAATAAATTTCCATTGTTTGAAAACATCAGGTTTGTTATGACAGCCTTAGGAAACTAATAAAATATGTGATTTTTCATAAAATACTAAACACATGAGTTTATGAAGTCATTCATTGAAAACATTTCTTAAATATAGAAAATATTTGGGATTTTAAAAGTTTTAAATTCTATGTTTATAAACAAATAGTTTAGCTGGAATAAATTTAACCTATAGTTATTCAACTGTAACTTGAACAATACAAAACTCCCAGTGGATACTGAATGTGTATAAAGAAAACTATTTATTATTCACTACCATTGTGACTTTAGATTAATTAAGTTGAATAAAAAACTTAAGAAACTTGAAGAGGTCAGAGAATCATGTTACCTTGCAATTTTTCTTACGAAACCTCAAAGAAGGTGTTATTAACCAGTCAAAAAGTTCTTTCAGAAGAGTTTGATGTTCTGGTTCAAGTAGAGGTCCTTTCAGGGAATGCAACCAAGAAGACACAAGTGGTTCCCATCCTAACTGTGAGGGTTCCAAATAAATCATGCCACATCGGCTTACAGTGGCAGGCTAGAGAAAAAACACAAGTTTTCTTTTTCCATAGTTACCTCTATACCAGTAAAACCTGACAATTATCAACACTTCTTAGCATGATTTATAAGGCCTGTCATAATCTGGTTTCTATATCTATAGCCTCATATAGCTGTTCACCAAACAGAAAACTGTTTTCAGTTCTATTCCCCAGACATGTCATAGCTCCATGTCTTTACACATCATCTTATTTTTATACGGAATATCCAGGCCCAACCAATCTCCCTGGAGAACTGTTACATCTTTCTCAAAACCAGATCAAATATTCAAACACCTTTCATGGTCCTCCACTATCCATTCCCCTTATGGCGGCTCAGTCTCCTCCATGCTCTTGGAGCACTCACACGTAACTGTGTATTGGAATTATTTATAAGCATGCTTCTTACCCTTCCTAAACAAGCTTATACTGTGTCTTATCATCTGTATACCCACTACTAAACCCATTTTATGACACATAATAAAAAAATTCTGACTAAATGAATGAATTAACAAATAAATGAACTACTATTGTATTAAATTACAAACTTACCGAAGCCTGGGAAAGGTCCATTGTTTCAAAGATCAGGCTCATTTGAGGAGACATCTGAATGATTTCTCCACTCATAAGACAAAGCTAAAAGCAATTATTTTCCAAACATTTATTTTAAAATATTTCAAGCTTTTCAGATAAAAATTTATTCTACTTATAAGATAAAGGTTTTCCTGTGGTGTAATGGGAAGTATTAGTGGGAGCCAAAAAATCCTGACATAGAGTTTGGGGTTTATTACATCTCCTAATCTCCTTTAACCTAAAATATGTCAGATATGTCAAAAACTGAATTTATCAACTGCTTCCTTCCTCTCAAATTCTTATCATGTCTATTATTATTATAGCCATCTCTTCAATATCCTTGGCTGGCACCTAGGGAATTATCATTATAATAGTTTTCTTTTGCCATACTAAGAATTGAACCACGAAGCCACATCCCTAGGCCATTGATTTTTGTTTTTATTTTGAGCAAGGTCTCATTAAGTTGGCGAGGGTGGCCTCAGCTTCCCTAGTCACTGGAATTACAGGCATGTGCCACCAAATCTGGTTTTATCATTAATTTTTAATGTATTAATGATTGTCTATTGATAAACCAAATTAATTTTCCCACTCTTTTAAATTCCACATATATTTCTCATAGTTTCCTCTCTGCTTCTACAATCATTGTTCTAGCCCCAGCTTTACCCCATCTAGTTATTTATCAACAATGAGGCATTTAACACATCTAGATTCAGTTTTTTTTTAATGTAAAATAAATGGTCTAGACCCGGATTGTCCATTATGTAGCTATTAATATTTAATTTTACCTAACAAAAATAAAATTTTAAATTCAGTTCTTCAATTCACTAAGCCACTCTTAAAAGAACAAATAGCCACAGTGAGTAGTGGCTACCTTTCAGATAGCACAGATATTTCCAGCACTGCAGAAAACCATATTAGATGGTGCTAGTCTAGAATACTTTTCACCTTCCACCAGATAATTTCAGCAAAGACTCTTCTATCTGCCACCAATTTGGGAGGTAGAATCAATATTTTCCTCACCCTACTATATTGTTTCCCAACTACTTCTACTTTACCATTGAGTACAACTCTTGCCACTTTGACAGTTCCTCCATTTTCTGTCACCTATCAGTATCCAAGTAGTCTCCTCTCATTAGCTAAAGCCTTTGGCACTTGACCTAGTCTTTCTCCCTTCCATAAGTCTGGCTTCATCCAGTTTTCATAAGGATTAGCATCTCAACACAATAGCCCCTCAGATCCTTGACCAACTTGTCTTCATTTATTTTCTCCTTACTCCATTCCAGCCATACAATTTATATATCTAGAAATTTCTCTGCTAAAATACTACATAATCCAGAAATATTAAATACAAGTACCTCATTCTCTGCCACAGATTCCTAATCCACCTAGTTCTCCCGCTCATGGACACCTAACCCACCTGCTATACATTTTCATAAGGATTTCTACATCACTGAAACTTTCACTTCCTTTGCTAGGCAACTTCTGTTCTAGGGTCCCATGCTTCTATTATTATCATGCCAGTATCTTTAAAGTATTACTATATTTCCAGGTTTGCATCATTACCTACACCTACATCCACACCCAGCCTTCTTAGACTGGTAGAGAATATTTCACACAAAGTCAGACCTTCATAGTATGAATAATTATTTAAAGCCTTTAACTCAGTCAGCCTCTAGAACTATTCAGATATGCTTATATGTTTTCCTAGGCAGATCTCTTTTCCATTTTCCATAAAGGTTAATTTAAAACACTTCCTTTCTCTTCAAGTCTGCAAAGAATCAGGGTATACCTCTTAAGGAAGAAAAATCATCAGAAGGATCTGCCCTTTACATTTCCACTATCAAATCTGTATATCTAAACTTCTATATTTTCTTATCATCTAATATGAGACAACCCTTCTACTTGGCTCTGAAACCTTAGCCTTCACCCCACTGACTAACCATTCTTTTCTAAATCATCACGGTTTCTTATCTGTTTAAATTCCACCCTTAGCTCAATCAATATTAAGTGAATGAAAGAAAGAAAATGAATAAATGAACAAGCATCTATGATAAAGCACTTGAGTATATATTTGAATGCTTATTTAGAATTATAGCCATTTCCTGTAAATGTGAAAATAAATTGAAATGGAATCATACAATATAACACTAATACAGACATAAAAAGAATAAATAAATAAATAAAACACATCAACATGAATATCTCATATACAATGACAGAAAAAAGAAAAATATTAAAAAACATGATTCCATAACATGAAGTTCAAGACCTGGCAAAACTAATTTATCACATAAGTCAAAAGAGTGATTATCTGAGGTAGAATGTACAGACTGGGGATGTACATAGTGAACCCTGCAGGGTACAGGAAATTTTACCTATCTTTATTTGGATGATAGTTGTATGGGTTTACCTATATAGTAAAAAAATAAATAAATTACAGAATCTGTATTTAGAATTAGCACACATTCAATACTTTATGTATATTATCTCATATATTAAAATAAATATTAGGAGACTTTCACTTTCTAGTTCTTCTAACTTATACCTATAGTAATAAATATATTACTTAAGTATAACACATATAAGGACTAAAGTGTTCAATGTTCTGAAAAGGAACAAATCCTTTTTATTTTCTCCTAAAAATTTTAAAGTCCTATAAGAAATGATACAGTTATTTGACAATTTATTCTTTCTTAGTAGTAGATTACTATGCCTTCCTCTTAATACAGTAGTTTTAATATGTTTTCATTCTATATCAAAAAAGAACAAAGCACTTACTACAGCAAAGTTTTCATTGAAATGATCATTTATAAACATTAAATTTATTGCATCCTTTATTTTAAATATATAATCCTAGTTGATGAGATGTTAAATACAACAAATTACTTAATCATGTCTGAATCTGCTCTGCTTTTAATCAGAGTGATTTACCTTTTTATTATCATCCAATACAGTGTTCATACTCTCTATCCACAAAGTGTCAATAGGACCGTCAAATACAACCCATTTCCGGTCAGGGGTTTCTGATAAGGCAAATTCTCTAAAAGTATTTGCCACAATACCATCAGTCCACTGAAGAAAAAAAAGGAAGAGTTGGAGAGTTCCTTTCAGATAACTGGATTTAGCAGTAAAAACATAAAAACACTTGAAATTCTTGCTTTATTATACACTGTCAATAGGAGAGTTGAGAACATTCTGTTGTGGCTTACCTCATGAGACACTGGGTCAAATTGTCCAAAAAGTTGGCCCATGGTAATTGATTTGGGGTTCACAGTTCTATAAATGACCTTTTCTTCTTCTCCATAGCCGCGTTCATTCATAAGAGATAAAGTATCAGCCAGCACATGTAGTACTTTTGTCTTACCAGCAAAAGGCTTTCCTACTAACATAAAACTATTAAAGTAATTACTCAATAAGTTCCAAAAACTAGAATGGAAAATTATTTATTCCAGTATATAAAAACTTTATCCTGTGATACTTACTACATGTAATTTTTTTCTTCCTTTTTGTTTATTTGTTTATTTTTTGGTGTGTGGTGTGAGGGACCAGGGCTTATATCCATGCTAGACAAGCACTCTATCACTAAGCCACATCCCAAGCCCTACTACATATAATTTTAAAAATTTATTCAAACTTTTCTCAAGACATGATGAAAATATAATTTAACATTTATACTGGTTGACCCACATTCATATCATTATCTACCAAAACTATGATAAAAAGTCTCTAGGTGACAATGTAAACTTACTACATATTACTCTTTTTTTTTTGGTGCTGGGTATTGAACCCAGAGGTATTTAACCATTGAGTAACATCCCCAGCGCTATTAAAACTCAGCTTGATAGCAAAGCTCACTTCAAGGGTAGAGTCATTGTATTACATATTTAAAATCTATGAAGGAATAATGTGGTTCCTAGCACAGTTGTCCCCTTATTTGTGGAGGATATGTTCTAAGATTCCCACTAGATATCTGAAATCATAGGTTGTACTGAACCCTATATAATACTATATGTTGTCCTATACATACATAACTATGACAAATTTTAATCTATAAACTGGGCACAATAAAAAAATTAACAATCATAAAATGGAACAATTATAACAATTTACTATAATAAAAAGTATGCAAATACGGTATCTCTCAAAATGTGGAATTTTTCCCTTTAATATTTTCAGATTACAGTTGACCATGGGTAACTAAAACAGTGGAAAATAAAAATCATAGATGAGGGAGAACTAATGCAATCATTTTAGGAAGGCAAAAATAATTCAGGGAAAATAGACTAAAGGTGTGACTCTTGCAACTAAACTAGACAGGTTCAAGTATACTACAAGGAAATTTAGAAGGATATGATTTAATAAGGACCATACTTATAGCTACAGGCACATGGAGTGCCTGGAATAAAAGAGACAAAAAGTTGATTAAAATTTTAAAGGCATTTAATGACACCCCCCCAAGTCTAGCCTAAAACATATATGAATATATAAAACTCAAAATGATTCTTAGGTATTAGATGCACCAGGGTTGATTGCACTCATTCCCCTCATTTTTGTGTATGCTGGAAAATTTGCATAACACAAAGTGTTTTTTAATACCTTGCCTTTAAAAAGAATCATGACTGGGCTGGGGTTGTAGCTAAGTGGTAGAGGGCTTGCCTCCCATGCATGAGCCGCTGGGTTCAATCCTCAGCACCACATAAAAATAAATAAATAAAGATAAAGTTTTTTTTTAAAAAAAAGAATCATGACTATTGAGATCTTAATTTTCTATAAGCAGGAAGCAAGCTGAAAACATTTCTCAGTTACAAAGGACAATATTTTCCCCAATGTCTACTTCACACAGTAGGGAAAATGAAAAGACCTTGCAGAAGGTTAAACCAAGCCCTACAGAGAACAATGAACTGGAAAGCTCCTTTGAGGGAACCAAATCAAGCAGAAGTAGATCCAAGTTTTCAGGAGCTTTAAGATAGTACACTTTGGAACTGTAAAATTACCATATCCACTGTAATGATACCCTATACAATAAATTATGTAAAGAAAATGTTTATAGCCTCTTGGAATGGCCCAACAAGTGAGAGGTCCTAAAGTTTAAGCCCCATTAGCTTTATAGTAAATCCATCTCTGGAACTGGAGTCCTCAGATGCCCAGGCAGATTTTAAAATTGCTACAGAACAATGTTATGTTTTCTATTCTCCAAATTCTGAATGGGAGTGTTTGCTCTGGAAAACTTGTTCTGTAAACCCACTACTATATACGGAATGTGTAGAGGTCAGACAACTTGTCTTTCTAGTTTGGAGGACTCTGGATCAAGAGGAACCACTTCCAAATCTGATGTAGACATAACCATGCCTCTAGAAATTCTGAATTTATGTATGTTTCATTTATTGATTACAACTTTTAAGTTGTCTCTCTGGAAAGGGAAGAGTGTATTTATGTACATTAAGGAGGTGAATAAGACATTATTGCACAAATTGTGATGGCTATTACTACTAGTCACTAAGCACTTCTTACCAACCCTTATTGGACATGTAATATGAAAGAACAATGGACCTTTGTCTTATAAAAGGGAAGGGAAGGGCTGTTTGTTTCCTAGCTTACTTATTATATAAATCTGTTGCTTCTTTTAATTATGAATTTCAGTTGTTAAACAGTTTAATTTCAAATAATACCATCTAACTATGGTAGATGATCTATAATCTTACCCATGTCTAACAATCATCATTTCATATGTCTGAATTATTTTCTCAAGAAAAAATTTAACAGGCTGAAGATTATGTGCGTGGCAAGTTTCATGAGTACATTCCAAAAATTCCTGAAACAAAAAAAAGTGGAATTCATTTCTATAAAATACAAAAATTATACACTATTATTACAAATAATGTCACATAGCTTTTTTTCCAAATTGAGAAGAATTAAGATAGCTTTACTATATTAGTATAAAATTATTAATAATCACAATATCATAGCATTGGGTGTACTCTTCATTAAAGAAAAAAAAAGAAGACACAACTCTTTAATAGCGTTTCCCAGACTTTTGGTTTTGGTTTTGGTTAGAATGTAGAATAATATGTCAGACAATCCTTCTCCCAGAGTAATTATAAATAAACAGAGAAGCTAAAAAAATTATATAAATATTGAAGATACAGGACCATCCTGGATGCAATTAAGTTTAAAGTATTTTAATTTCAGAAAGAGTGAGCCTTTCTTAGGTAAGCTGTTGGCAGCCTGGTAATATTTCTAAGACTGGACATGATATGCATTTGTTTGGGCCTGTTGTAGACAAAGGGAATTAGTTAGTAAAGAGAAATTAATAGAGATTAATGGTTATGTGGGCTGATGTGATAGGATTGAATGACCCCAAATGCAAAGGTGGTTCTTCCTATTGCTCATGTTTTTACCAAGCATGTAGACACATATAAGATCAAGTTCACCTAGAAAACGACAGAATTTCCTTAGTCTCAAGATGTTTAAATCTCAAAATCCTCCTGGAGGGAGAAGTCTATAATAGAACAAGATAGTGATTGTTCTACAGGCATTTGAAATCAGCAGGAAACTATAAGTCAAAAGAGCAGCAATAAAACTCTAACTTAAGTCAACTCCTGATAGAATTGATCAGCAACTCAACCTAGCTATCTAAAAGAAAAAAATAACACAATATTTCTCTAGGAAAATAAACCAATATAGCCCCTAAATTCACGTTATATGACAATGTTTAAAATAAAATCAGAACTTAAAAATCATGAGAAATAGCTAATGACCAAGAAAAAATAGTAAACAAAATAAATACAAATATTCAAATATTACCATTAGTAGATAAGAACTTTATCTTTTATAAAGTGTAAAAGAAAAAAGACAAGATGATGGAAACAGGGCTAGGATTGTAGCTCAGCGGTAGGAGCACTGGCCTAGCATGTGCGAGGCCCTGGTTCAATCCTCAGCACCACATAAAAATAAATAAATGAAATAAAAGTATTGTGTCGGAACTATGACTAAAAAAATAAAATATATATATATTTTTTAAATGATGGAAACAGGGGCTGGGGCTGTAGCTCAGTGGCTGAGCGCTCGCCTCACATGCATGAGGCACTAGGTTTGATCCTCAGCACCACATACAAAAATAAATAAATAAAACAAAGATATAAGAAAATGACAGAAACACATGAAAAGATAGAGAATTTCAGCAGAGAAAGAAAATCTATAAAAAGAGCCAAATCAGATACACTATTAACAGAAAGACAAAATATGTAAAATTAAGAATTCTTTGGGGGGCTGGGGTGGTGGCTCAGCGGTACAGCTCTCGCCTCACATGGGTGAGACCCTGGGTTCGATCCTCAGCACCACATAAAAATAAATAAGTGAAATAAAGGTATTGTGTCCAACTACAAATAAAAAATAAAATATTAAAAAAAGAATTCTTTGGATGGGCTTATCAGAAAACTGGACAAAGCCAAAAAAAATAGAATATTTAATCTTGAAAATAGGTCATAAATGTCATTGGAGCCCCAGAAGAGGAGAAAAAAATATTTTAAGGAAAGAAGAAATATTTTAAAAGATAATTACTGAGAATATTCTAAATAGGCATATCCACAGATTCAAGAAGCATAGCAATCTCAAGCAGGCTAAGTTAAACACACACACACACACACACACACACACACACACACATACTCATACAGCACATAGTCAAACTGCTCAAGATGAAGGAAAAAGAAAAATTATTAAAAATAGAAAAATACACATTACATTCAGGGGATCATAAATAGAAAAATATCTACCTTCTAATCACAACAATGAAAGCCAGTTGATAAAAATAACTTTAAATATTGGGGGGAAGAGGGGACGACCCTACCGATTTTGAACCCTATTACCTAAGGAGAATATTCACATACACACAAGATAGACCCAAGGAAGTCTTCTAGATTAAAGAAAAAGATCCCAGATAAAAACATATGAGGGCTGGGGTTGCGGCTCAGTGGTAGAGCGCTTGCCTACCATGTGTGAGGCACTGGGTTTGACTCTCAGAACTACATAAAAATAAAGGTCCACCAACAACTAATAAAATATTTTAAAAAATACATATGCACTGAAAGGAGGGTAAATAAAATAAGCACAATAAGCACTAGAAAACACCATACAGAAGTCTTTCTGTAAGGTTAGGGATGTAGCTCAGTGGTCGAGCACTTGCCTAGCTTGCTTCCTGGGTTCAAATCCCAGCACCAGGGTTGGGTTGGGGGTTTTTTCTCTTCAAAACTATTGTCTGAAGCAAAAGATAATAACACTGTATTTTAGCAACAATAGTACAATGGGCAGAAGTGAGGAGAAAAAGAATTATGCCATTGAAATTGCTTAAATTGTTTGCAAAATGGTAAAATACTAACTTAAGGTAAATAGTAATAAGCCAAAGTATAATCTGTGGAATGACACTGAAGTCCAAAAGAGAAGATGAAATGGAGTGATAAACTGGGTGCAGCACAGTAGAGAGGTACAGTGCATTCTTAGCATGCATAAAGACCTATGTTTGATCCCTAGTATTGCCAAAAAAAAAAAAAAAAAGAGAGAGAGAAAAAAATGGGTAATAAATATCACCTGAAATCCAAAAGAAGTCAGTAAATAAAGACAAGGGAATGTAGGACATATTAAAAAGCAAAATAATACATTTAGTAGCATTTTTCAAACTGGACTCTATGGATCTATTACTATATTAGTAGGAGCACAAGAATCTTTCAAGATAACATTAAAATTTGAAATTTTCATTTCTGATATTTTAAAAAAATCATATTAGGCTGGGTGTGGTGGCACGTGCCTGTAATTCCACCTACTTTGGAGGTTGAGACAGGAGAATTCCAAGTGCAAGGCCAGCCCGAACAACTTAATGAGACTCTGTCTCAATATGCAAAAATAAAGAGGGCTGGGATGTACTCAACAGTATGTTTGCCAAGCATGTTTACACATGAGTTCAATCCCCAGTATGAAAAAGAAAAAAACATTAGCAATTCTGAATCATCCTGGTAATCACTTCAACTTGGTATTGCCAGAGGAGAAGTATATTAGCATTCAAGAGTGAGAATTTTAAAAAGTCTAAAAAGAAAATGATGACTAAGTAAAGTGATTCCTTAACGATTTAACAGTTCAAATGAAGAGGAAAAAAATTACAGTAATATCAACAGAGAAACATGGTGGGAGACATGAATCTTTATATGGCAAAAAGAAGTTCATACATGCTGAATGCAAAACAATCCTCATTTTACAATAGAATTGCCATAAAATGACAACTTTGTTTCTCTAATTTAATTAACTGAGCTAAATTGAATATTATTGAGATTGTTTTCATGGCATTTAACTTTTAATTTTATTTTGGCACTATATTACAGGCATATCTCATTTTATTGTGCTTTACTGTGCTTCACAGAAATTATATTTTTACATATTGAAGGTTTGTTGCAACATTGCATTCAGCAAGTCTATCATCATCATTTTTCTTTTTTATTCTAATGCATTAAAATTCATATTACACTTTTATAGCACAATTTTTCATATCTCTGGTTGTATACCAAGTATATTCACACCATTCGTGTCTTCGGGTGATGATGTCCACCTCATTCCATTTTTTTTACACCCCTTGCTCCCTCCTTTTTGCGTTCTCCACTTTGTCCTATCTGGAGTTTGTCTAATCTTCCCAAGTTTCCCCTCCCAATCAACCCCACTATGAATCAGCCTCCTTATATCAGAGAAAACATTTGGCATTTGGGTTTGGGGGATTGACTAATTTCACTTTGCATTATATTCTTCAAATCCATCCATTCACCTGCAAATGCCATGATTTGATTTTATTCTCTTTTATTGCTGAGTAACATTCCATTGTGTATATGTACCACATTTTCTATATCCATTCATCTACTGAAGGGCATCTAGGTTGGTTCCACAATTTAGATATTGTGAATTGTGCTGCTATAAACATTGATGTGTCTGAGTCCTTGCAGTATGCTCTTTGTAAGTCCTTTGGGTATAGACTGAAGAGTAAGATAGCTGGGTCAAATGGTGGTTCCATTCCCAGTATTCAAAGGAATCTCCATACTGCTTTCCATATTGGCTGCATTAATTTGTAGTCCCACCAGCAATGTGTGACTGTGCCTTTTCCCCCACACTTATTGTTGTTTGTATTCTTAATAGCTGCCATTCTTACTGGAGTGAAATGAAATCTTAAGAGTAGTGTTGATTTGTACTTCTCTAACTGCTAGAGATGTTGAACATTTTTTCATATATTTGTTGATTGATTGTATATCATCTTCTGAGAAGTGTCTGTTCAGTTCCTTGAATGGATTATTTGTTATTTTGATGTTTAGCTTTTTGAGTTCTTTATATACTCTAGATATTAGTGCAAGTGATGTGCAAGTGGTAAAAAATTTGCTCCCATGCTGTAGGCTCTCTATTCACCTTGCTGATTGTTTTTGCTGAGAAGAACCTTTTTAGTTTGAATTCATCACATTAATTGATTCTTGGTTTTAATTCTTGCACTATAGGAGTCTTATTAAGGAAGTCAGGGCCTAATCCGATATGATGGAGATTGGGGCCTATATTTTCTTGAGAAGGCACAGTGTCTCTGGTTTAATTCCTAGATCCTTGATCCACTTTGAGTTTTGTGCATGGTGAGAGATAGGGATTTAATTTCATTTTGTTGCATATGGATTTCCAGTTCTTCCAGCACCATTTGTTGAAGAGGCTATCTTTTCTCCAATGTATGTTTTTTGGCACATTTGTCAAATACAAAATAACTGTAATTATGTGGGTTAGTCTCTGTGTCCTCTATTCTGT